TTCATCATGTACATCTATTCCATTTATAGTAACATATGATGGTAAATTCTTCTTACATTTTCCAAGTAATTCATTTATCATATTCCATGTTTTTTTCATATTTCCTTTAAAGAGCTGAAATTTAAGTTTATAATAGTTTATGCGTGCACAACGTAATATTTTAGTAACATTATTCCTGACCTTGACATATCTTTTCTTATTGTCATCAGTACAATTTTTCCTATACTTCTTAAACAATTTATTTTTTAATCTTATCTTTTTTAATATGCTTACAGTTATCCATGGCTTTTTAATAATTTTTCTTGTGGTCTTACTGTCTCCCATTACAAATACATCATCGTAAACTTTGGATAACATATCTATAAACATATTATAAACTTCATCAGTATCTGTACAGTTAAATACATCACTCCAATCAACATTATACACCTTTTCTTCAAAAGCTCTAATAGTACTTTCATTTATACGACGAAATTTACGAGTAGGAGTACATTGTGCATGAAATTTAAAGTGGGTTATTTGAAAAACTGGGAAATGATCTGTAATATCATTGTAAAATAAGCCAGAAAGCACATTTGATCCATAGTTATTAGTAAGAATATTATCAATTAAAGATGAGGATGTCTCTGTAACACGCGTTGGCTTATCAATTAAGGGCACAAAGCTATTCAAATGTATTGCACTCAAAAATTCATTCACAGAAACATTATCATGATTCAGTAGATTAATATTAAGATCTCCCATTATATATACATGTTTATGTTCGGTATTCAATTTTTCTAAACAAGACTGAAGGTGTTTATTAAAATCCATAACTTTTGATTGAGGTTTTCTATAAATAACACCGACAATAATATTTTTTCCTCTAGGAATAACAATTTCTATAAATAAAGACTCATAATATTCAGAACATTCTAAGATATCATGTCTAATAACAAAATCCAGAAGATCAGATATTAACAAACCCACACCACCTCCTCTAGCATGTTTGCGATCATTATGTATAAACGAATATCCAGGTAGGTTAAAAGTATGTGGTGTGTTTTCATGGATCCAAGTCTCTGAAAAGCCATAGATGGAGAAATCGAAATTAAGAGAAAATATAAAATCGGATATTGCATCAAAGTTTTTAGACAAGCTTCGAGAATTGAAGTGAATAATACTAAAATTTTCTTTGAATTCAAGTGCTTTTGTTAAGAAATCATCATCTAAATAATATTTACAGTCCAAGACATCAAGATTATGATCCATGTCATCAGAGTAAACATCTTCAATGTTTTGGAGATTATTTAAAAGTTGGTATGGGTAAGTATTAACATTCCTTTTAAAAAGATGTTCAAATGCGATATCATCAGTATTATTAAAGGCAAATATATTATGAAAACAAGATGGAAAAGGACAATTGCAGAGATCCTTTTCTACAGAGGTACATACTTCAAGACATTTTGATTTTTTGTAAAAGCTATCAGATTGAGGACAACATATGTGGCAAGATAGAGTTTTAGGTTCCACTACACAATTACATATAACACAGAGCATACCTAAATTAAATTAAAAAGAACAAACAAAGCAAGCAATAACAACAACAACAGCAAACAAATCAGGTATGACACAGTATCCATTTGGAGTAGGTGGATTACAGTCAATTCATTGTTACTAGAGCCATTTTCGAGAGGCAAGAGTATACCATGACGTCATTTGTCAGTGAGTTATTATATGTTGAAGGTCATTATCACAGGTGATGAGTTTTGTGATACTTTTCCCTCCACTTGCAGGAATCAAGGCAATTATTCGTCCATCCGAAGACCATGCAGATTGTACCCCTTGGGTACTGCGTGTAGTTGCAAGCAATTTCTGATTCTTTGTCGTCAAATCTTCCACAATTGATATTCCTGTATTTTTTAGCTTCCTTCTTTTTTCTAATATTTCCTTTCTCTTTCTGTAGCTTGTGAACTTCACAATTATCGATCTTGGTCGTGGCTTCTTTGTTTCCTGTCGAGGATCGGATGTTGCAGTACTAGTTCGGAGTGCTGATACTGCTGGGACTACTTTTCCTACGCGATGAGAACGATCAATATCCCGCTCCACATCAAGGGAGATGCCAAGTGTTTCTGTGACAACCTTAGCTACCTCTGCATCTGTGTTCTCCCCTTTCACTTCATTTACACCAAAAATTCTGATACATGCTCGTCTTGAATATTGTTCCATGGTATTTAATGCATTTTCCAGTTTGGCGGTGGTGTTGTCACAGAGTGAAACCTTTCCTACTAATTTTTCCAATTCTTTGTTTTTCATTTCCAGTTTGCTTTGTAGGTCAAAGACGTCACCCTCAACTCGATCTAATCTTGTCAATATCTCATTCATCTTCTTGTCTATAGCATTACTCACAACAGATGTAAGAAGGTCATTGAACTCTTTATTCTTCAATAGGTCTTTTATAACCAGACAAGTTACAGCTGCAGTTTGTCTGGTATTCACAGACGGGCTAACATTGGACATCCTGAACGTTGAATAGAATTAGAATGACAATAGAATTGCACTTTGATGGAATGTCTTGGGAGTCAATGCTAGTACCGATGACCAGACAGTGAAGAAGATACACAAAATGTCATATGTGGGGCTGAATGTAAAAACGGTCAGTTATTACACAAACTTGCCTTTCTGCGTAGATCCAAACTACTCCACAATATAAGTTTACAAGTATTCCATATACATCCTGATGATGGCTGGTTAGAATATGATGGTAAAACAAGGGCTAAAAACCGCTAAAAATCACTATTCCAGTATAAAATCCTGACTCGCAATCCTAATTGAGTGTGGGCATCAAGAGGTAATTGTAAACCGCTTTCATTGTACTTTTATTTACAAAGTTCATATTGCAATAAGAAGCGTATCTTCACCAAACTTCTTATGCGATATAAGATTTCATTCTTGTAATGTTTCACCAACATTATCCTCTTCCTATTCTTCTTCTTCTACTTCTTCTTCTTCATCACTCTTCTTCTTCTCCTCCTCGACATCTTGTCATCATCATCATCGTCTTCCATTTTTTATAAATTTCGATTGTGATTGTTTCACCATCATTATCTTCTTCTTCTTCTTCTTCTTCTTCTTCTTCTTCTTCTTCTTCTTCTACTTCTTCTTCTTCTTCTTCACTCTTTTTCTTCTCCTCCTCGACATCTTGTCATCATCATCATCGTCTTCCATTTTTATAAATTTCGATTGTGATGTTTCACCATCTTCTTCTTCTTCTTCTTCTTCTTCTTCTTCTTCTTCTTCTTCTTCTTCTTCTTCTTCTTCTTCTTCTTCTTCTTCTTCTTCTTCTTCTTCTTCTTATCCTCGGCATCCTGTCATCATCGTCGTCCATGTTTATAATCGTATCCGGACATATACCCCCGGATAACCACCCCAGTCAGCTACCCCCTAGGACAACCACCCCTAGGACAACTACCCCCTGGGGCAACCACCCTCTACTAGTCTACGACGACTACCCCCCGGGACAACTACCCCCAGAAAATTACCCCCGGACAACTACCACCCGGACAACTACCCCCTAGGAAAGTTGTCCGTTTATAATGTTTCACCATCATTATCCTCTTCTTCATCGCTCTTCTTCTTCTTCTTAATCTTCGTCGCTTTTCTTCTTCTCCTCCTCGGCAACTTGTCATCATCATCATCGTCTTCCATTTTTATAATTTCGATTGTGATGTTTCACCATTATTGTCCTCTTCTTCTTCTTCTTCTTCTTCTTCTTCTTCTTCTTCATCACTCTTCTTCTTCTCTTCCTCGGCATGTTGTCATCATCATCATCGTCGTCCATGTTTCTAATGTTTCACTATCATTATCTTCTTCTTCTTTTCCTTCTTCATCGCTCTTCTTCTTCTCACTTCCTCGGCATTTTATCACCAACGTCATCGTCCTCGATTTGTATCGTTTCGATCCCCCCAACATCTTTTGATCTTCGTCTTTTTTTCCTACGATTATTGTGCGGAAAATGTGATTGTCGGAGAGAAGAAAAAGGAGAAAGGTTATAGATTAGAAGGCTATAGATAGATGAATAGAGTCATGTATAATATACAAATATCGAGAGTTGAAGAAAGTGAAAGAAAAAGGCGGAGAGGGGGAGAGGGAGAGAGAGAGAAGGAGCAAGCGAAAATGAGAGAGAGGGAGAGAGAAAAAGAGAGAGAGAGAGAGAGAGAGAGGGAGAGAGAGAGAGAGAGAGAGAGAGGGAGAGAGGATGAGAGAAAAGGGGAGGGGCGTGCAAGAGAAAGAGAGAGAAGATTAATGTTCATACTACATTGTAATAACTACACAGATTGGCATCCATCTAATTTCCAAACAAAATTGTGCAGGAAATTGATGCACAGTATTGTTCTAATACACCGCCTGTTAGTTTTGAATGAATCACATTACCAACATGGGCTTTGTATAATACTCACCCGTGACTTCCAAATGTTCGAGTTCATTTAGTGATCTCGAAGAGGTGAAAAAGACACGTGTCAATTGTGAATTAAAATGGGAACATTTCAAACGGCGTCGAAACATGAACCTACGGTATTAAATTATCAGCTTCGAGCAACATACGCTATTTTGGGATCAAGACCTGTAATTGTGCTACCTCTCTGAGTTTAATTATTATGCACATGTTAATGATAGCTTTCAGCCTTCTTCCATAATCAACCTCCTTTTCGGTTCACGCAGTCATCTCCGACAGTGCAACAAAACCACCCACCCCCACTCTCACCACTCCCCCTCCCCCTCCATAGGATCAACATCACCTCCCTCTCTCTCTCCCTCCATCCCTCTCTCTCTCTCACTCCCTTCTCTTTCAATCTTCCCCGCTTATCTCTATTCCTATATTGTCCACTTCTCGGGTTCCATCTTTTTTTAAATTATTATTTCATTCTCAAAAAGAACATTGAATTTTCCACTCTTTCTCTAGTAGTTTCTCAAGTCTCTCAAGTAATTCAACACATTAATAACAAAAGTCAAGCAAAGTGTCTTGAATGTTTCAAATTTAGTGAACTTCTGACATAAACTTTTATGACATATCTGAATATCTTGAACATCATATGGAAATCATCTCTCTTACATATTTTTCCACAAAATAAAAAACAATATTAATCAACAGATAAACAAGTACAGGCACATCATTTTATCTTCTTATCTTTGTGTGGCATAGCTTACAGACAGAATGAGTTTTCCACCTCCTGTTGGAAAAGATGTGGAATAGAGTCTGAAATAGATAGACTACCCCTATAACTTACTAGATAGCAAAACGGGTTAGTCTACATCATTCCAGACTTGTTTTAACTCACTTACAAGCAATGGGCCGATTCCATCTACCAGAGTCTGGCTAGGTCTCTTGCACAAGGCAGAAATAGAAAGCAAATTCAATCGTGTCATTTTGTTTGTTTTTAGTCCTTATTATCTAATCTTCTTCTCTTTTTTAAAGTTCATAAACGTATTTACAGTCAGTGATAAAGTACAATTTGAAACAACTCAATAGTTTCAGGTCTGTTTAAGTTGAAAGTGCATGCATATTGACAAATTTCTCCTATATCGTAAAGGAATAGGAGAAAATAAAGATGGACACATCTGTATTTGCATCAAATACTTCAGTGATTTCCCATGGACTTTTGTAAGATCAATTCTCAAAAATGAAGAAATACATGTATATCTACCATCTCCCCCCCCCCCCCCTGCCCCCTTTCCACGAAAAGTGCAAGACTGAGAGTGACTCACATTGAAAGCAAAATGTCTTCCAATTTTTTAGCAGGTATGTCAATAGATAATTTAACAACAAAATGAGTTGCCCCTTATTATATTTTTTCTCCATGCATACAAGGGATATTTCAAAATACAGATGTTTTTTTTTTCCCTTTTCCTTTCTTTCTTCCTCTTTTCCACCTTCTTTTTCTTATAACTGCTTTTGGTGATCAACTGCATGGTACACAGGAATACTGTTCCTTTACTGTTTCTAAAAATGAGTTGCTTCATGAAAGTGCATACAAAATGGCAAATTCAGTTTGGCATATCACGGATAAAACATCAATGCGTGCAGATGATAAGAGAGAGACAGAGAAAGAGAGAGAGAGAAAGAGAAAGAGAGACTAGGAGAGAGAAAGAGAGAGAGAGAAAGAGAGAGACAGAGAGACAGAGAGAGTAATGGGGGATAAAGGAAAGAGGAAAGTGAACGTGAGACAGACTAAATTTTAAACATTGATTATCTCATCAATTGCTTAATTCAACTTTCTATTTCATAAAACACAAGTCGAGTATCACAGGGGCCTTTGTGCACTGTGTTTCTCACCCGAGTGGCCCAACACTGAATAATTGCAATTTGCAAGGCTTTTATGTCACATAATTCATGAAAGTTTCTGTCTTTACAGGGAAATAAATACATGTCAAAGAGAATACTGCCGTAAAGGTTTTGATACAAGAAATTAATGTACACAGTTCCTATTTCTGAAGCAAAAAGTAATATAAAAACGAAAATAATGGAATGTCTCTAAAACATTGAACTATTTCCAACCAACATGGAAATAAAAATAATTTGCTGTCTAACATTTGTCATGGAAACATAAACTGTGCATATTTTTGGTTTGTTCCTTCAGAATGTATTGGTTTTTTTCTAACAACTCCTGTGAATGCTTTCATGTAATGATGTAGTGTGTCATTCCTGCTAGAAACAAAACTAATTTTTCTCCGTAAATTCTGGACAGAAAATGAAATGGATTGATGCCAGTAACACAATCATAAACATAAAGACTTACAAATAATCAACCTGAAGACAATTTTAATACCCTCTTGCTGTTGTAATGCCTTTAGATGTCATTTTTTATTTCTATTTTTTAATTCAATTTACTGGATTCTATACATATTCATTGACATTGTACATTTTGTACCTTGTAACATTTGCATGTTTTAGTTGTGAAACTACCATACTTCAGCGATCCGACTGAAAAGCTATGTTTTTAATAACATGTGAATCTTAAATCCAAACTAGAAGAAGTCTTCAGATAATTTAAAATATTACTGTGATGTTCAGTCCAGTTTAGACAGTCCAAAAGGCGATGCACGAAGCCATTGAAATTGTCTCAGATTAATGTTTTCAAAGTCTTATTGATTGCATCTATTTTCTTGATTTGCCACCCCTACCCCACTTCTTACCAGACTTCCACTTTCCCTTTCCCTTCCCCCTCCCTCGCCCCGACCCTTTACCCCCTGCCCCCCTGCCGGTGAATTTCCTCGGACTCTTTTCCCTCCCCGATGTGTTGAATTGATTCTTGAAGTCGATCAAACAAGGAGGGTTATGTTTCAGGCTCTTGAAAGCCTTGATAGGGGAGTCGCTGAAAGGAACCGAGGAGGGATCTCGACGGACTCTGTCATCCCCATCGCTGTCGTCATCGATGTCGTAGTTGTCGTCATCGTCATCGTCGGAGTCGACAAGGAACTCGTCAAGGGCACTAGGTGAGTTCGGACCGCTCCTCTCCTCCTCCTCTTCAGACGAAATGTCTCTCTTTCTTTTCGATCTAAGTTGAGACGTCGAAGTGGCCTCGCCCCCTTTCGCATTAACCGCTCGTTTAGCTATAAAAGAACAACAATATGATTAAATCACATTAAAATGTTTATTTGTGGATAGTCAATATTTTGTAAAATTTTAAGTATATTAAATTGCTGGTACCCAAAGAAGATAATGGACTGCCAATCACCTATACACTCAACTTTCATGGACACTGGCAGTTACAATATGGCTTCGTCAAGATTGACAAGTATTTTGAGGACAACAGTCGCCATTTCCATATATTATCTACATGAAAAATTAATTCAGGTTGGCAGTAGCAGATATGCATAAAGTGCTGTACCGATATCAAAATAAATGCATTGCTACTTGTCTAATATCAAGATAAACTGGCTTTACAAAATGCATAGATGCTATTAATTCTTTGTAAAGTTTAATGCTTCAATCAAATTTAGGACTGAGGTACTTCTATTACAAATTTTGAAATATGTAAAGTATAAACTCAAACATCCCTTTCCCAAACTCAACTGCTGACATTCGTAAATGATGACAACAAAACAATAAAACAACGTGGGCGGATCATGGACAACAATCCAATGAACACAAACATGTTCAAACTATCATGCACTACTGAACCAATTAGCAGGCACCAATATGAACTCAAAGTGGTAGAGAACACAAAAACAAACTAGATGAATCTACGACTGCGCGCATTGGAAACTGATGCCTCCACCATAGAGCGATTTTACAAACCAAAACAGAAGCAATTTTTTAAAGGTCAAGTTTGATTGTAATCCATTAAAGGCATCGTTTAACAAAGTTAAATCTTAGAGATGCACGGCCCTACGTGTTATCAGTGGCTGTGATATGATGTAATATTGAAGCCCTCAAAAAAATTGCGCTTCAGAATGATCAAGAAGTGCCTCAAAAAAGTAAAAATCTTTGAGTGACCGGTTTTACCATATTTGTTTTCCCCAATAGACTGTAATGTTATGAAAACAGTTAGGAAAACGCAAAATTTTGTTTCGATTTCCAATCATAAATATCTTGATAATCAGATAGGCGATCATCTTGTAAAAGTCATGGGGTTCCTGACTGCCTGAAAGGTGTATTATTATCATTGCAGCATAAGCTAAATTCAGGCTTTTGTTTCAGGATCTGAGACAAAGTTACCGGATCCCTTTCTCTCAGAATATTGTGATTACACACTATTTTCATGTATATGTATGACCTTTGATCTTTGACTTCATGACCCCAAAATCTAATCTGTTCATCGGATCTAATGATAATGTGATCACAAGCTATTTTTGCATACATAATGAGCCTCATGACCTTTGACCTTGTGACCCTAAAATCTAATCAATTCATTGGCTCTGCAAGATACATCCATGACCCAAGTTTGGTGGGAATCCAACTATCGGTTCTTGAGATAACACGTTCACGGGAACAAGACATACAAACCTACAGACGTACATACATTTGTACGGACAGACGGACGACCCGAAACCATAGTGTGTTGGGGAGGCATAAAAACAAATGAACAAGAGACTGTTGGTGTTCTTTCGTGAAAAGCATGCATGACACAGACAACAGTCAACATGCAAAAACACAAGACAACTGCACACCAGAACCAATCTAACCATTGGGTGTCGTTGTTTATCCCCCCTGACCTAGCATCTCTTTAAGTCCGGCTCTCCGCATCATCTCCTTCTAACGCACCTCTGGTTCCTTGTGCTGCTGCGTTCCCACTCCTTGAACGTGACACCCCTCCCGTCGACGATCCCTCTGCGGCAGCGGTGGACAAAATTTGCCTTCTGGTTGATGATGATGTCGAGGTGCTGACGGCACTGGGGACCGCATCATTATTCTCGCTACCAAGGGCAATGGACTGTCTGGTGTTTTTCGATGGCGAGCTGGTTGATTCCACCTGGGAGTTGTTGGAGGCATCCATACGGTCCAGCTCGTTCTGTACATGCGCTTGGTAGAGAGACTTGGAGATGAACTTGTTGCAGATGAAGCATTTCTCCACTTCTCCTGGTTCGTCATCATCATCACCATCGCTGTCTGCGGCATGACTGGAGGTACTGTAACAGATACAGGGAAGAAAGATAGGTCAATTCAATTCAATTCAAATCGTTATTTCCAAATTCCAACATCAATTAAAACAATGTGTAAAAAGCAGTCAATGGGCAATAAAAACATTTTAAAACTATGACATTTCAATCAAACGAATTAGAAGATAAAAACAAAACAAGTATAGCATTCGATGAGAAACAAGGTAAGGAAAGGGGCAAGTAGACCATGTAATACATAATTCAGTTATTACTTAAAAAACTTAAGTGGATAATTGGAAAATGGTGAACACAATAAAAGCCAGGTTTGTGGCTTGTGAGAATGTGACCACTTCCTAGATTGATGATCAGAATGGAACAAAAAGACGGGATTCCGTAGAAGGTAAATCAGCTGCCTGAAGAAGCCAGCAGCAACAGGGAGGAACTGGCTAAATGTCAAGGAGCAGTTCTACGTACATCCAGTAATTGATTTACAATATCGCTCATAACTGTAACAGAGAATTTCATTCAATGATGAAAAGAAGGATAATATTTTAGAGTGGTGTCTACATCTTCATTAGCACTGGATTCGATGATTGTTTATCACAAGTTTCAGAGCTGGTGAACCCTAAATAAAGGTTTTTCAAAGTTACAGGACTTCATGAAATTACTCGGAAATTTGAAATATCAACATTTAAAGCAATTAATTTCTATTTTGTTTAAATAGTTTCTTTTATAATTGACATTATTACGTACCAACCCCTTGAGTAAAAAAAAAAAAAAAAGAATTCAAGAAAATTGGGGAAAAATAGGGAAAATCCAAAAAATCGGGGGGGGGGGGGGGGGAATCGGGAAGAAGAAGAAAAAAAGAAATCTGGAAAAAATCTGGGAAAATATCGCTAAATTTATTAGAATCTGGTAATTATCAGGCCTGTCTAACCTAAACAACAGCAAGAACCATACTACCATCCACTCACGTTTTAGATTGCCATTTACCCCTCTTGGGTGCGGGATGGTTGCGATCTGGTTGCTTTGACGATGACGATGAGGAGGGGCCAGGAGCGGTGACCTTGATCTCATTTCGGCGTACCATGTTCATCACAACGTTATCAAAGTGGCTCATACTCCCTACGCTGGATGTGGGGCTGTCGCTGGTGTTCTCAGAACTAGGAAATGTCCGTTTTCTGTTGGGAAGAATGTGGCCGAGGTGAGTCAGGATACCATGACAAAGTTTTAAGAGAATAAAATGGCCCTACAACCCAACTGCAACCCTAACTATAGATCTGTCATGAGAGGAATTTTTTTCCAGATGAGAAAAGAATTCTTTTGTTTAAGAACTGGCATGAAATGTACTCACTATGAACATGGCAGACAAAGAAAGCGGACAAAATATACAGTTCCTCAGGTAGACAAAGGAACATCCCTTCACTGCTATTATGTAAAAATGTGTAGAACAGGTGAATATGCATGTGACACCTGTTCCACACATTTTTACATAAAAGCAGTGAAGGGATGTTCCTTTGTCTACCTGAGGAACTGTATATTTTGTCCGCTTTCATTGTCCGTCATGTTCATAGTGACTACTCAAAGGTCATTTAGAGGTAGTCAAGCTTATGACGCATTATTGCATAAATTTGCATTTATGACACAGAGTCAATCTGGTTTTTATGCCTCCGTTACGAAGTAGCCGGAGGCATTATGTTTTCGGGTTGTCCGTCCGTCCGTCCGTCTGTACGTACGTACGTCCCGTTCTCGTGATCGCGTTATCTGAAGAACCGATTGATGGAGTCCAAAGAAGTCTACTCAACAATCAAGAAACTCACTAGGAAACCAAATATCAAGATGCAAACAGTAAAGAGCAAAGATGGACAAGTACTGACAGAGATAGAGGATGTAAAAAGGAGATGGAAAGAAAGTTATGAAGAACTTTATAACAACCAGAACCCTATCAACAAGGATGCAACTGAGGGAATTGCACAGATGACTAGTATGGAGGAAGAGCCTGAAATACTTAAAGAGGAGGTCATTAGTGCTATCAAAAGGATGTCAGATGGAAAGGCCCCAGGCTATGATAGTATAACAGCAGAGGAGTTAAAAGCATCCGGAGAGAGTGGCACTGACATCCTTCACAAACTCTGCAACCTAATCTGGAGAAAAGAATCTTTCCCAACTGACTGGGGCAGAGCCATTATAACACCTATATTCAAGAAGAAGGATAAGCTAGATTGCGGAAACTACCGGGGAATCAGCTTACTTAGCCATGCAGGAAAGATATTTGCATCAATCCTTCAAGAAGACAGAGGAAATTTTATCAGAGTCCCAGGCAGGTTTCAGACAGGGAGATCAACCATAGACCAACTGTTTACTCTAAGACAAATTGCAGAAAAGTACCTTGAAAAGAACAGAAGTCTGTTTTGCTGTTATATAGACTTCGAGAAGGCATTCGATTCAATATGGCAGGAAGGACTTTGGAAAGCTATGAGATTCTTTGGCTACTCCAATAAGACAATCTGTCTCCTAAAAGCACTATACAAAATCTCAGCTAGTGCAATCAGGGTAAATGGCGAACTTACAGACTGGTTCCCAACAACTGTGGGTGTACGCCAGGGCTGTGTATTATCACCACAGCTATTCAACATCATCCTAGAAATGGTTATGTTACATGCCACCTATGACACCCCTATTGGAATAAACATCCAAGGCCATCTGATCAACAACCTCCGCTTCGCAGACGACATAGTTCTTCTTGCATGCAACGAAATAGATCTCCAGTCCATTGTAGATTGTGTACAACAGTGGAGCTCAAACTTTGGCCTCAAAATCAATATTGCCAAGACAGAGGTCCAGGTCATCAGTAAACAGCAGCAAGACATTAACATCAGCATAGGTGGAACCAAACTACTACAGGTGGAAAAGTTTGTTTACCTGGGAGGTACCATCACTCAATCAGGAAAATGCACAGAGGACATAAAGAACAGAATTGGAAAAGCCCTGGGTGCTGTTCAAAGTCTTCACAGCATATTGACAGCCAAAGACATTAGAGATGTTACAAAACTTCAACTATATAAGGTACTCATCCTATCCATCCTTATGTATAGATCAGAAACATGGACACTGAAAAAAGAAGACGAGAACAGGCTCCTTACCTTCGAAATGATCTGCCTCCGAAAAATCTTGGGGGTAACCAGACTAGACAGAATAAGGAATACAATAATTCGGAAGACTCTAGGACTGGATGAGACAATTCTGGACAAAATAGCCAAAAAACGGCTATGATTCTTTGGCCACGTTAACAGGATGAGACCATCACGATACCCAAAGATACTCCTAACTTCTGATATCCATGGTGATAGACCCAGGGGCAGACCAGCCAAGAAATGGATAGATTGTGTAAAGGCCGATTGTGCTACTAGATGTCTGGGATCCCTCACAGAAGCGACCAGAACATCACAAGACAGGAAGATCTGGCTTGACGTCATGAAGCAGAAGCCATCACACATCTCCCAGATGGTGCGGAAGGCTTAGGTCAAGGTAGGTCAAGGAGGTTAAAGGTCAAAGGTCACAGGGCTCATTATGTATGCAAAAACAGCTCGTGATCGCGTTATCTCAAGAACCGAGTGATGGATTGCTGCCAAACTTAGGTCGTGTATGTTACTTGCAGAACTGATAAAGTGATTAGATTTTGGGGTCACGAGGTCAAAGGTCAAAGGCCACAGCGCACATTATGTATGCAAAAACAGCCCGTGATTGCGTTATCTCAAGAACCGATTGATCGATTGCTGCTAAACTTATGTCATGTATGTTACTTGCAGAGCAGATGAACTGATTAGATTTTGGGGTCACGAGGTCAAAGGTCAAAGGCCACAACGCACATTATGTTTGCAAAAACAGCTCATGATCGCGTTCTCAAGAACCGATTGATGGATTCCTGCCAAAATTAGGTCATGTATGTTACTTGCAGAGCCAATGAACTGAGTAGATTCTTGGTTCATAAGGTCAAAGGTCAAAGGTCAGGGGCTCATTATGTATGCAGAAATAGCTTGTTAACACATTCTCATTAGAACTGACAGATGGATTACTATTTAACTCAGGACATCTTGCAGAGCCAATGAACTGAGTAGATTTTAGGGTCATGAGGTCAAAGATCAAAGGGTCATTTATATGTATATGAGAAATTGCTTGTAATCACGATATTCTGAGAACCTGTTAATGGATTACATTTGAACTTGAATTCGAAAAATGTGTTCTGTTTTAGTTTGTAAAATTGCTCTATGACGGAGGCATCATTTTCGACTGCGCGCAGTCGAATTCCATCTAGTTGTTATTGCATCCTTCTAGCTGCCTATTGAATGTTTCCTTTTGTTAATTGTTATCCGGCAACCTGTTGGTATATAAATAGAAATATCTTGCATACCTTGAATGTTTGCAGGGCCTGACCTTTACTTTTTTTTTAGGGAGCCAGCCGGGCTCCTCAAGCACTTTTTCAGGGAGCCCGCAGGGGTTTCAGGGAGCCCAAGTTTATCACGTTTTTTTTGTGGTCATAATAATGGTCATTAACTATTAAAAAATTAAAACACACCGTCACGATACCTTTTTTTATAATCATCAGCGCCGGGACCAGGGAGGGGTGTATTATTAAGTGTAAATGTGACCATGAGGATTAACTGACTGTACTGAAGAATTAATCTTACAACTACTATGAAGCCCTTTGGCTACAGTAACAGTCTAACATTGGACTTTAGGTTTTATCAGAATGAGATACCATTGATTATATTTCTCATGCAATCGTTACCAAACAACACAGGCACTATGTTGAAAGTGTTGACGTGACTCACTGTTTTCATGAATGAAATCTTGCAAATAAAAGCTCAGTCGTAATAGCAGACGAAACGTGATTGAAATAGTCAAATACTTTTTTTTTTTTTTAATTAATCAAATGACGTATTACTATATGACAGCCAACCCATGGAAGGCTAAATTACTTTCAGTTTACAATAAAAACATTTTGTGAAATACATAAACTGTAAGAAAAAAACACACAACAGTTTATAGTAGTACACAAACCTTGCGAAAACATATGAAAGAAATAATAAATTCATTTATTGATTGCCGTTAAGTTAGTCCAACGACATTCAAGTCAAACTTTTTTATTCCATATTTTATTCTTTTCAGTCCCTTTGACCGTTTATACACGCCGCTTCAACGATTAGCCACGAATCTCCCTAATTCGTACATATGTTCACAAAACAACAATCAACCCTTTTTACACACGCCTTTGAAGTTTGTAGTTCGTAAAATTATGTTCAAACAATAATCAAGTCCATCCAGGTACGCACGCTGAAGAATAAGCACTCACGATCACAAACGCACATGTATCACAAACACGAGTCGACGTAAACATACACTCAGCTCTGGCAACGCAGCGACCACGTGCGTTTGTCTTAGTGTGTACATTCTCTGAGTGCACCGACATACAATGCAGCATGTATTGCGCACTCGTTACGAGTGCGGAGATATAACGTTATCATGCATGGCATTCCTGCACTGATCTCGATGTGTTTTCTTTTGCAACTCATTATTCGCGCTGGAGTTGAGCCAAGTGTGCCTTGGAATGCCTAGCGCATATTTCATGATTTTGACTGCGGAATTTGGGTTTTTAGAAGGATTAAAACATGGATTAAAGTGCTGGTAAGAAACAGCATTTTTCGTGGCTGATACTAGAAAAACTTAGGGAGCCAGCCGGGCTCCTCAAGCACTTTTTCAGGGAGCCCGCAGGGGTTTCAGGGAGCCAATGGCCACCGGGCTCCCGATAAAGTCAAGCCCTGGTTTGGATGTTAAGGACCCGGGCAAGGCAAGTGGATAAAGGGAGTTTGCTGAGGAAAACTCAGGATAACCCTTTAAGTTAGTGCTAGGGTGCAGACATTATGCACGAGCTAGATTTTATTTAGTAAGGCAGCAGAAACATTTTCTTCTGAGAAATCTCCACGTCAAGGTGAGATGCGAGCCCAAGCTGCCGTTTTTTTTAATTAAAATATTGGACCCTCGTCAATAAGGAGCTCGGCATGCCTGCACGATATCCATGGTCAAGGAGCGGGGAGTCAGCGAGATAGACATTACAGAACTGAGCTGCCAAGTCGACGGCGCTGTTTACCAAGTCTAGAGACTGGCCAAGCGACCCGGAGCTGTGAGGGACTCATCAGATAGAAGCTACCTTGTTTTAAAGTTATGTACTTGTAAATTGCTTATGTTCTGTTGATCTTGAACACCATGATTTGAAGGCTGAAGATTAAAACTTCATTATACCGTTTATACAATTGTGTTCTGTTGTGGTTTCTGATAAGATAGCAGTTCAAATAATTTTTTAAAAGTCACTCACGTGACAATATCTTTGAAGAAATAAAAACCTGAAGCAATAGACCAGTTCACGGTTAGCACATTACTGCAATGACCCCTAATATCCACAGATCTTCCAAACATGAAGAGGTCCCACTTTGTACATTTTTGAAATAATCACTCCTACAGCGATGGAAGTGCTATATAAATTGCCTTTGTTTCCCCTTTTCAAAGAATACTTCCACCTGTGTATCATGGAGTGCACTGAATGTGCATGAATGCATAATGATTACATAACTTTCATGAGCACGTATCCAGTATTTCTTCTCCGTGTATTTCAAAATTTGTTCTGCAATGACCTTATCTGCTCATGCTCAGACTACAACCGTAAACTGGCTTATTGTCATCAGAGCAAATGTCTGATCACTAACAAAATATGAGCAATGTCTGTAATTATCAGATTTTAATGACGTCACTACCCGAAAGATGTGACTCAGTATCAAACCCTGGATTGTTGTAGGAGTACCTCGGACAGCTAACCATCATGTACCATCTGCTGAGAGCTCGAATACCGTTGACTTCTTCTTGTGCAACATTAACTTAACACCCTTCTAGCTCTCAGCGCACAATATCATGTTTATGCCTACGTTTTATATATTAACAACAATAGGAAACAAATTTCTGTATTCTTACAGGGCAATAAAACTTGAATCTTAAAGGTATAGACCAGTTCTGGTCATGCGATTGCATTGTGAAAGAAACATTGTGGAATCAATCAGAAAAGGTTGATCATCTAGCATATAAGTATTTGTGTGTATTGCAAGGTTCTGGAATCATCAAAATGATAAGATATTTGGCCAAGTCTTGGTAAAGTTACAATCACTGTACACAAAAAAAATGTATATGGGACTACATGAACATGTGGCATAAAAATCTGTCCTGATTTTTACGATGTTACATGCCATATTTAGAATATTTAGGCATTTGAAGAGCCATGCTTTTTCAGGGAACATTTTTTATTTGATGTTCTTCCACACTTGCATAATACCAAATAATATATATATTTGTAAAGCGCTTTGAGAGGGCCTTCGCTCTTGTAAAGTGCTATATAAGAACTAGCAATAATTATTATTATTATGTTCACAAATCATTTTCACCTCTTCCCAGAACTCAGTCTTCTCTTTAACAACTTTCTAGCTCTTAGCGCACAATATCATGTTTATGCCTATGTTGTATATGTAACACCAATGGGAAACATATTTCTGTATTAATATGGGAAATAAAATTTGAACCTTGAATCTTTCAATTCGACCATTCTAAACACTCACCTGACATTCTGCTTCCTCCCAGGCCTCTTTATAGCCTCCTGTGCTTCTCCTGAGACGATCACATCATCATCGTCGTCGCCGCCATCGTCTCCCTCATCCTCCGATGACGTCCTGTCCAGCATCTCCATCCTGGCTACTATCCTGTCTCGAGGACTAGGGGGTCTGGGAGTGGGAGCAGGACCTGGTCTAGGTCTTCTTACAGGCTCTGGTCTTGCAGGTTCTAATATTGGAAATAGTACATTACAATCAGACCTAAAATGGTGCCTCCCAGTTCAATAAAAAGATTGCATTTCTTAAAGCCCCACTGTACTCCTTGTAGCTACTTTCCCTCTATATAGGAAACAATGGCTGATCAGTGACCATTGGTCCCCCATGATCCTATTTTTTTAATGTTAATTGAGAGCTTATTTGATGAGATAACCACCTGTCAGTGACCATGCAGAGAGGTCTAATCCCTCCAGGCCAAACTAGTGCGGTAGGGCTTTAATACAAAGACTGCATTTCTTAAAGGACTGTCTTTGCTTTATACTCAATGTAAACATTGATTACCCTGCCACATAATTGGTATAGCTCCTATCGAACGGCAGAAGAAAAAAAAGGGGGAGGGGCAAAATTGTAGTACAGAGATTAAGGGAAAGGGAACAGAGGAGAAAGGAATTGGTATTAACAAGGCGATAGGACCCTCCCACACCCTACCCCTATTCACTTGTCTTGCAATTTCACATTTCATCCATCTGGCAAGACCCCCCCCCCCCCCCCCCCCACCACACACCCCTCCAAGAGATAGAAGCCCCCTAAATGAGTAAGCCTACACAAACTGCTAGATATAGAATGTCTTCAAAACTGCAAACTCGTTAAAAGCAAATGATACAACAGTGTTCATAGTAAATAACGTTTAGTATATATTCTTTGAACAATGATTGCTGAATGCGGCAGGGAATAATTTTCCTGGTATCGCATCGCAATTTGCTATGCATTTTCGCATGACTGCTATACAAAATATCTTTTGTGTAGCAGTTTTCTTCCATAGAAATGTACAGAATTTCATTTGAAATATTTATCCATCGGCTGAAATTGCTAATCAAAAAATTTGAGGAAAATTATTCCCTGTGCGGTGAAAATGCTTGCCATAAGTGAAAGGCATTCGCTACACGTAAAGAAGGCCTAGAGAATCTTGCTTTGACAGGGAAAATTGTGGGAAGAAGGAGGATACTTTGGATGGACAGTCTGCAGAAATTGATGGAAGAGAGAGGAGTGAAAGAACTGGGAGTGGTACCAATACAGAAGGCTAGGAGCCGAGGGTTGTGGAACAGTATGATCGCCAAAGTCAAACGATATGGCACTTCGAGAGAGAGAGACGTACCTGCATTTTCCACTGGACCATTGCATTCTGCAGCATGGACCTCTATGATCGTCATGGCAAAGGTCACTCCGCAGAGGGGACACTGGACACCATCTGCTTCCACTTCGTCCCCACCACCGCCTTCGTGAACTTCTTCTTCCTCTGCTTGGTGATCTTCATCTCGTCTGGCTGGTTCCACGTTCTCCCCTAAGTCTTCGTCACTTGGCCCACCTCCCTCGTCCAGGATGTTGTCATCCATCTCGGCAATGGGGGAATCCGTTCCGATGCTCACAGCTGCTTCATTGGAGTTCTGACAGGATATAACAATATTTAAAGGCATTGTTTTAACAATATTAAATCTGAGATGCATGGCCCTACGTGTTATCAGTGTCTGTGATATCGTGTAATATTGAAGCCCTAAAAAAATTGCGCTTCAAAATGATCATGAAGTGACTCAAAAAGTAAAAATCTTTGAGTGACCAGTTTTACAATACTCGTTTTCCCCAACAGACTGCAGTGTTATAAAAACTGTTACAAAAACGCAAAATGAAATTTCGATTTCCAATCATAAATATCTTGATAATCAGACAGGCCATCGGTTTTTAAAAGTCATGGGATTCCTGACTGACCTAAAGGTTTATAATTATGATTGCAGCATGAGCTAAATGCAGGATTTTGTTTCAGAATCTGAGGCAATGTTACCGAGTCACTTTAACAAATTGAACTCCATGTAACATCCCTTCATATCATATTCCTTGTTCTGCTCTCTGTAATTGCTCTGTTCTCATGACTCTACAAAATCAATTTAGCAGTGTAAGCTTTCCAGAAAGAAAAAAAAATGGATCCTGACGACCTCTCTCTCAGGTTTGTCTTATCTAAAAAACAACTAATAATTAATGAAATACAACAAAATATTTCATGTGACCACGGGAGTTCAAAACAAAACAATTGATGAGTAGAGGTCCACACATTTGTGTTTTATGAAAACGGTCCAATGACCAAACTGCACCAGATGACTTGAAATGAAACATACAACTGCCTTTACCAAGACGAATCTTGACAAAAACTGCACAAACAGTAATAACTTACCTGTATTTCAGCTTCCTCATCAGCCTGATTGTCATTATGCTCATCCTCTTTCCTCGATTCATTTTCACCTCTGTTTTGATAATTTCTTGGCGCTAAACGGTCAACAACGTCTCTTCCACTGTTGTCTACAGCACCGTTGATTTGATTACGTTTATGACTTGAGCTGTTTTCTTGAGCAACAGTTTCTCCTTCTTCACTTTCCCCATTGTTTGATTCATCCAATCTATTCACATTGCTACTGCCCACATCCCCGATGCCATTTTCCTCCTGACGGGTAACCCCCAATCGATTCAATTTGTAGTAATCGAGTCTTTCTTCCTCGAAGCTATGGGCTGGTCCGTAAATAGAGCTAGAGGCAAGTTTGGAGGAAGCGGAAACTGTATCACTGTTGACACCGCTCTCAGCATGGTTTGTAGATGTAGAACAGGCTCTTGACTGATCAGCCGCAGAATCTGCACCTGTCCTTGAGGTAGGCATTCCAGAGGATACAGTCCCAGAGGCAGTTGCCTCTTGGTGTTGGTCAACTCTGGACATTGCATGTCTCCCACCGTTATCAGGCACAGTGGACGACACCCCTGAAGCACTCTCTGCAGCAATGGTTGCATGTGTCCTTGCATCGTTGTCCACCCTGAGCCTTGGGGAAGATGGCTGCGGACTCTCCATCTTGTCCCTGTTATTCTGCAGAGTTCGTGGTGAGCAATGCCCAACTTGCCTTGGGACACCGCTGGATGGTCTCACAAGCCCCCTACTGGACTTCCCACCAAAAACTGGAGATCTTAGAGAACTGCTGGACTGAGATTCAGGTGGAGTGGACCTTCTCGGTGACACCGTTGCAGTCAAAGGAGTCCTTGTTGTTGTGTTCACAGGAACAACCTCCACATCCGCATCGCTTTCGTCTGAACTTGACGATCTCCGCTTTGCCTCTCTCTTTCTGGTCATCTCAGATTTACTTGTCCACTCTCCAACTGCACGCTTCTGTACAGGAGAAACCTTACTGACTAGGGTCCTCGAACTGGATACCTCATCAGCAGTCCTTAAACTTAAAAATCCTGTTGTCCTGGCATTGTTTTGGACACCAGAAGACCCACTGACAGACCTTGTCCATTCTAGTTTTGGTTTAAATCCTGCAGGCCTAGCTTCTGCCTGTTGATTACCAGGCACTATCCTCACTTTATTGACATCAGTGTTATTCTGAAAGACTTTGCTAAGGTGCCCAAGGTCAGTTCTCAGGGGCTTCACCAGTCTTGCCTGGTTGGCCACTTCAGGATCATTCTCCTGGCTGTTGCCTGCACTCTCCTCATCGGACGACAGGAGCCACTGGAAGACTTTCTGGCCTCGTTTCTTGTGGACGATGGTGTCCTTCACGTGAGGTCCTACCACTACAGGCTTTCCCAGTGCCAACCTGTGCTTCTGCTTAGCTTGGGCCTTGAGGAGACGCATCTTGTACTGGTAGAACAGTCGCAGAATGACAGCGGTGTAAGCATTCGGTAGGACTCCATCTGGTGCCAAGAATGGACTCTTGTGATTAGGCTGTGGAAAAAGAAGAGAGAGTAGTTTGTTTATCAATTATTTCTTCACATTCTGCAGATAAAAAAAAATGATTCTCTAATCTGTAGTTGGAAAGAAAGATACCGTCAAATTCATTTGGAGAAATCATAGATGTACAAACATGAAAACAGTTCTTTATTTGGTCAAGATGTGGTTTAGAATCTCAATGGGTCAATTTCCAAACAGATTATCTTTGGACTTATTATGCACAATAGTCTGTATGCCATACATCTTCTAATCATAAACTTAAGAAAATTTCTTGATATGACCGTTGATATGTAATTATTTCTGATACTACTACTACAACACCCACCATTAGACGCAGACCTTATTAATCAATGGCCATATCAAAGAGATGTTTTATTTTTGGATGGTATAACTGGATAAAAGACAAATCATAGAGAATACCTATATCAAACAGATTGGCCTCTTTTCAAAGTATTTGGGGGAATCTGTCCTCAACATTCAAAATGCAATCAAGTCACAAAATATACATTATCTCCAATGTTTAAACAAATCGTTGTGTTGCTCCATATTCATTGAATAGATGTGTTGTCATATTTCAGAAACTAACCTTCCTGTATAGCAGCAGCAATGCCATCACCGCAATGACCACAAGAGAGGAAAAAATATAGAGGAGAGAAATACAATACGATTAAAAAACTGAATTCATTTCAATTTAGTGAAAAAGCAATTGTACTAGAGGACCAGATGTTCAATGTTTTATGCCAAGGTTTAAAACACGATACAACAGTGGTTAAATTGACATTGATTACAAAATATTTTTGTGGTTTGAGAATTTCTTCAGGATTTTTTGCATGTTAGAGGGTTAGTACGGTAGGAGGAATATAATAAGTGACATTTCATAAAAAAATAACACATTTTTTTTCATCAACCTTCAAAAATGTTACCGGTTCACAAGTCCATCCTGATATTGGTTTTAATACAACATCAGAAAGCTGTGAATTTTTGAAATTGCGATCAATCAAACACAAATGGGCAACTCTGTGAGGTACCTTGCAATTTGTCATCATACATGCACCCTACATATATGCAAAATCTTTTCCATCATCATATAAGAAGAAAATGAAAGTTCATTACATTTTCTTTACAGAGCAAATTGGAGAGGAGCTCGCAAGATACGTCATAGTGCTGCAAATCTGTTTTTCTTGACCGTTACTTCAAAAATTCATAACTTTCTTTTTTTAATCGGATATTTGCTCAAATTTTCACTGACCCATTTTTCTCATTTTACTGCTTCTATTAAAACCATTTTATATCAGGGTGGACTTCCCCTTTACAATAACATGTCCCTGACACACTGTAATAATGCATACTAATATTCAGAACAAGGTAAACCTGAAGCTTTGCACTAACACCATGCTCTGTTCTCCATTTTCTGTTATCACTTTCCTTTTATGCAACATGTGTATTGAAATAAACAAAACACAATGAAACACTTTTTATTCAAACAATCAAGAAAACAAATCTATCTATCACAATGGATTTAGGAATGCCCCTGTATTACCTGGGATCTACAAGTGGTACCCCAGCATTGTCCGAGAACCTTTCTGGGAAGTCGATGAAACCCGCATCTTGAGAGGGTGGTGCACTGCTGTCCTCATCTTCGTCGCCGGCTCCGACCTCCACATCGACCTCCGACCCTTCGGATTCCGATTCCTGGGCCAGCCGCGGAGCTTTGGTCTTGTTGCTGTTGGTCCTGAGTTCAGAGCCCTCTTCGCCGTTTCGCTTCCTCTTTCGCAAACTCAGCCTTGTTCTCCTCAAGTCCATATTGGAACTGCCACTGTGCAGACAATGAAACACGAATTCACTTAAAGTTAATACAAAGTTTTGGTATGGGGTCATGAATTTGGTTCAAATGAACATATTGAAAGCATATGCGATCCTACAATATTCAGTGATCGTTGTCGCGGTTGAAATCGAGTCTAAAGTGAAGAAATTGTAAATAATAAACTTTTTAAGTTGTATAGCTCCCTCTCAAGGTCAAGGTATTCATTTAGCTATAAAACAATGTTTTTCGACTAAAATCAACTGATTTGCTATTGCCGTTTGGAAATTATACATGGTCGCAGCTACCATTGTATGGCCGTAGGCGCTATTTTAAATTTATCAAAATTTACCGGGAGCACCAGTAAATTTTTATGTTCAATTTTGCTCGAAAGCGGAAGTGTTTTAGGGGCTGAATTTCTTGTGCTTATGATACATCCACAGGGGCATCTAAATATATCAAAATTGTAAAAAATCACTATCCAGCCAATTTTCTAAATTTCATAAAACTTTGTATTACCTTTAAGTGAAATAACAATAAAGACAAGCACAAGGATATTGTGATCAATTACTGTTCTCTGTACCATGAAAAGTTACAGGTAGTCTTGCCATCTATATATTTTTAACAGTAAAAATAAAATGAGTGAATATCTACACATTTCTGTTTAACTGTACAGTCCATAAATTTGTTTGGTTGACAGTACTGCAGAATCCAAGTCCTCAAGCTTGTACATGACAGATTGTTGTCAATTTACTACAATGAAACTCCTAAATTACAAACAGATGTCCAACGTCATCATTTACAATGAGAAATAATTAGCTGTTTACATTGTTAAATAAGTGGATATGAAAGCCTCCTACTGCTATTGCCATCCTTCCAACTGCCCCATCCACTAATTACACCCTGCTGCCCCCCCCCCCCCCTGATCTATAGAGCTGACTTTATCAAACAGTTATCATAGCCTGCTACACATACTTCCTACTTCCATCCTGTTATCTTGCCACCTGCCTCATCCCCCTGCTGCCACCCTATGCCCCCCCCCCAACCATCTCTGCTAACTTTACTCGACAGTCAACATAGCCTGCTACCCTCTGCTTCTACCCTACTACCTTAATAATAATAATAACTATAGGCATTTCTATAGCGCCGTCTACTTATTACCCCAGCTTTAGCCTAGCTGCCATTACAGCGCTCCAGCATTTCAAGGAATTAATTCCTGCCAGGTACCCATTTACCTCACCTGGGCTGAGTGTGGCAAATGAAGATCTTGCCACCTGCCCCATTCCCTGTTGCAATCCTGCTGCATCCCCCCCCCCCTCCCCTCCCCTCTCCTCCCCTCCCCTCCCCTCCCCCCCTCCCCTCCCCCTCCCCTCCCCCTCCCCTCCCCCTCCCCTCCCCCTCCCCTCCCCCTCCCCTCCCCCTCCCTCTTCCCCACACACACACCGTCATCACTTCACTTACCCTCTGTCTTCCTCTTGACTGTGCGTTGATTCAGGCTGAGGCTGTAAAATGAGAGAGGATAAAAGGATAAGTCAAACATTATCAGAGAGGGGCAAATTTACAAATTAAGAATCAGATAAAAATTTAATAATTATTTCATCAAGTAACTGCAGAAGTCAGGCATCAACCTTTCGCTTTACTTCACACTAAAATATAAAAGATATGCTCCTAAATCAGAAGTGTGGAAATACAGCATGAAGTTATGTGCAAATGGGTAAACACAAACAGAAAATTAAACACAAGTTTCATATACATAATCCCGAAAACTATGCTGCTCTTCTTTGAAGTTGAGATTAAATGAGATTATTTACAGTTTACAATTTACAAGGAACAATTCTTACCTCATATCCCTGATGGGACCTCTGACTATCGAGTTCTTGTGCAAGCTCATCCTGGTCTTCCATCACATCAAAGATATCGATGCTTCCCTCCTGATCCCCGGGCCTCTGATTATCAACATACAGTTCTTGTGAGAGCTCCTCCTGGTCTTCCGTCACATCAAAGATATCAATGCTTCCGTCCGGAGTTACCGCGTTACGGTCCTCCAGTGGACCTACTTTAGCGACAGCCTTTTCGCTGGATTGAGTAGGGCAACTGCTAGAGGCATGGGGTGGCTGGCCTGCCGTTATCTCCTGCGATGAAATTTTATCAACCTAGAATGATAGACACATTCACAATCACCAATTAAACATTTGGACAAACTGACTTCATGACATTCAATCAATATGCAAATCATTTCCAAAGTGTCTTCCGTCACGATAAACTACTACTAGTACAGTACCATGCCATGTGCTAATTTTTCTCTACCTGTATGAGCCAAGAAAGGGATGGTAAACACTATGAATTTTATAGTCGAGATCATAGGTGCAAAATATAAAAGTCTAGCAACCTTTGCAGGAGATTTTCGAAAGGATATTTTCATTTTTAAATTGGTGCTGAATAGCCCAAATGGGGTGACGCATTCAGGTTGTTTATAAAAAGAAGGAAAAAATTACAACTGTGGCCTACTTTTTTGCAACAAAAAAATGTCTCACCTCCTCATCTGACTGGAGCAAGATGGAGGAACCGACGGAAGAATCATCATCATCTCCATTCCCCTCTTCATCCTCGACATCATCCTCCACATGGCCACTGGCTTCAGCCGCCACGCCCCTCTCATTCTCCTCGTTACTGATATCAGTGACATCGCTATCCTCCCCATCACTGCTTCCAGCACCATCCATACGGCTGTTCTTATGAGATGCATCACGTCTACCGCTTGTCTGAGCCTGAGCCTGAGCCTCGCCATGGATGCCCAGACCAACATCCTCGAGGCCAGAGGAGTTCCCGTCACTCTCTCCTCCTCCTACTCCGTTGTTGGTCTGCACCCTGTCGCCTCCTTCGATCTCATCGTTGCTGATGATTCCATCACTGGTCGAGTTTGTTACCGATGTGACTTGCGTTTCTTGGCGACTCAGCTCTAACGCTCTCTGATAAGGAAGGGGAGATGAACGGAATACAAAATGAATCAATTTTCAAAAGTATTCTCACATTTTCTCTTCTTGATATTTACGATCAAATGGCATTCATGACAGTTTTCACTGAATACAAAGTTTCAAATTTAAGTTGATGAGATAAAAATACCAACTTAGGATTTCAGACCAGTATTTCCATTTGTATGTGGGGGAATAAGGCAAGCACTTCATGACCAAAAACACCTTACCTTTTCTCTAAGATTCCAAACATAAAGATCTTAAATTTTCATCTTTTCTTAAAGTTTCTTAAAATTCATCAAAGTTTGTTCCAACATTTATCAATCTGTTTTTTTTCCTTCTCTAATTTGTCTACTTTCACTCCAATTAAATTTCAAGATGTGATTGCCTATCAATACATAAGAAACTAGCTTCCAAATGAAGTGCCTTGATCAGGGATATCATACTTACTTGAAATTCTTCCTCCTCTTGTTTCTTGACTGCAATGTTAAAATTAAAAAAATGTATATCAAACAGTGTCAGACATCTGTAGACAAGTAGCAATACAAACTTATTCCTTTAACATATCTCACCATAGTAAATAATATTAATTACAGTGCTTATATAGCGCCTTACACTTACTTTGTCAGAAGTCTCTAAGCACTCTACAATAATGCAGCATAATTACCCTGGCTTTAGCAGTGCAGCTGTTACGCGCGCTGCGTTTCAAGGAATAAATTCTTACCAGGTACCCATTTACTTCACCTGGATGGAGTTTGGCAAATGTAGATCAGTGTCCTGCCAAAGGACATTAGTGCAGCGGCGGGACTCGAACCGCGGACCTTGTGATCGACAGTCCGGCGACGTATCCACTCGACCACAACACCTCTACCTCTACATAGTATGCAGCTATACCATTAAGTAAACTATTTAGTTAAGACTGAAAATGTCAGACTTAACTATTATTATATTTACCACATTACTTAGCAAGACCTAAAATATTAATACATCAATACATCAATATTAATACACCTATCAAGCTAATTTTAAAGATAAAGATATCTTTTTGTTGTAGGCAAAGGTGAGTCCTGGCCTGGTTAATATTTTTTTCCTCTCTCTCTCTCTCTCTCTCACTGTCTCTGAAATGCAGCCTATAATAAGCCAATTCATAGTTCTGAGCATGAGCAGATAGAGGTCATTCAGACCAAATTGTAAAATACACGGAGACAAAATACTGGATACTTGCTCATGAATGTTATGTCATCATTCACAATTCACAATCATTATGCACAAGTAGTGCACTCTGTGATAAACAGGTGGAATTATTCTTTGAAAAGAGGAAACAAAGGCTATTTATGTAGCACCTCCATCGCTGTAGGAGTGATTATTTGAAAATGTACAATGTGGGACCTCTTCATGTTGTGAAGATCTGTGGATATTCAGGGTCATTTGGGACCACTTTAGTAAAGGTGAAAAGAATAAGTGGAATATGGCTTACTTCTCTGTTCTTCCTCTTCTTGCTGTCTGCGAACCAGCTCTCTGTTGCTTGGGCGGCTGTTCCTATGGTTTTCTGTGCTTGCGGTACTGCTACTCACCATTCCCATGCATTCAATCTGGAATAGTGACAAAAGGACGTTTTAAAGGCATCGTTTAACAATGCTTCCAGTTATACAAATATGAGATGCATGGCCCAAAGTGTTATCAGTGTCTGTGGTATTGTGTTATATTGAAGCCCTAAACAAAATTGCGCTTCAAAAAATGATCATAAAGTGCCTCAAAAAAGTAAAAATCTCAGTGTGACCGGTTTTACCATACCGTATTTTCCCCAATAGACTGTTGTGTTATAAAAACCGTTAAAACCGTTTTGAATAACAATCATAAATATCTTGATAATCAAACAGGCGATCGGCTTGTAAAACTCATGGGATTCCTGACTGACCTAAAGGTTTATAACTATGATTGCAGCATGAGCTAAATCTAGGATTTTGTTTCAGAATCTGAGGCAATGTTACCGAGTCACTTTAACAGCAATGCCATAGATTTATCCAATATTTTTAGACCTCTTTGCGGATTGATCTTTTGAATCTGTGTGTAGTCTACAATTCCAAATGCAGACTATTCCTCCTCCATTATCCCATATATGTATCATCGTCCATCATCATAGACTCTACTTGCCTCATCCTCGTCTCCATTCTTATGCCTCTGTTGAGCGCTGCTCTCTTTGCCATCTCTCTGATTCCTCTCCCTTTGGCCGGGATTCCAAGAGGAGCAGCCCTCTCCATCCTGCTCTGTAGGCTGGTTACTGGTATCAGCAAACGTGAGGGCCACAGGCTTACGGTGAATTCGCTTCTTACCCATGGCAGAAGCTGCAAGAAATAAATTTACATATCTGTTGGTGCATTGTAAAAAATATTGAAAAATAAAAATTATAGGAAAAAACGAGATCACAGAATCTACGCGAATAAAAAAATTGCCAATATGGGCTGTGTCTCACGAAACCGACATCCCGTTAAAATGTGTGTAATAAGTTTAAAACACGTTTCAATGGGATGTTGGTGAACTTGTACTTGACGGTTTCATGAAACACTGCCCTGGTGACTGGATTGCGATGTATTCATGGACAACTCTTCCATTTGTCATGTACAAATAAATACTTCATAACTTTCTGTTCTTCTCCTAAGCGCCTTCTTCCTTGAAGCACTAATAAAAAAAATACTGTGGGTTGTACATGTATATCAATAAAAGTTCTTTAAGAAGAAAAGACCCTCCCAAGTCATACATTTTGGAAAAAATACATTTTAGTCACTTTGTGTGATGGCACAAATGGGAAAGTTGTCTGGCATTAAATCATATTGTCGATTCAGCCAATTCAAAGTGCCAATAGGCCATAAAGATAGATACAACTTTCAAAAATTCATAACTTTCCCTTTTTTTTGTCCAATCTCATTCAAACTTTCGCCAGTCTGCTTTTTCGAGTTGGATTTCCCTTCTAAAATGATTTTGCAGTGAAAACGATTGACCTGCCGCAAACAGGTGACCAGCCACAAATCTCAGCATGTACTAGTCTAGAAACCCATATCTGCTTCTTCTTCTTCTTCTTCTGTACGTGTCGACAGACTTGTTAGTCCATATAAAGGCACATGGTCATGGAATAGAGCAATCTTTTAGATCTACTCTACTAGTCTGATGGGGTGACCGAAATTCGCAGAAATTTTTGAAAATATTAGGAAATGTGATATTCTATCCATGATTTCTCATATTCTACACAAAATTCTTTAGTTTAAATATTACCAAATGAACGGTAACGTTTTTTTACTACAAAATGGTGCGACTAGAAAAATTTTGTCAAAGAATTCTGGAGATATCAAGATCTCAAAATTTGATGTCGGTTCGGCATGCACTGCAACACGCAACTGGGAAAAAGTCATAAAAAAAGACGAGACCTTATTTCGCTTATGGGAGTTTACAGCTGATACATGTATATCAAAATATAGCGATGCATCACGTTTAAGATAGATCTAGGCCTAATTTCATAATTTGTAAGGCTAAATCATCCAAACAGTTGGTATCACTTTTTATTTACAATTTTGATAACATCTTCTCTTGATTTGAAGATTTCTACATTTTCCTAGACCCTTGTCAGTAAGTTCAAAATTTTCTAAACGGACACAAAAGACAGCAAAATTTGCTGATCTTTTGTCAATATTTTCATAATTTCACACCCAATTCAACTGAAAATTTATCTCTTGTTTACTTTTTATTCATCTTTCTATTGGTGGTATCTGATTTACGAAATTTTACTTTACTAAGGTCACACACCATCCATGACACACTCATAACTTTTTCATACATATTTCAACTTTCTAATTCTAGAAGTCTAGACCTTGGCTTCACCTTGTCCTTGACAATCAATAGACCCTAGGGAAAAAAACTTAGGAAAGAAGACCGAGATCTACGCAGCAAATGACAAAATAAAATGCTAACTGGTGCTGAATGAACGATTTGACGACAGTATCATGGACAAATGATGGACCATCATGCCTTCATCTTTCAAGTTTCATGGACAAGTGGTTTCTGGTTTCAATTTTCAAAATTTCATGTTCATGCCACGGCTGCATAAAACTGGTAAAACTAAAATTTGTCAAAAACTGAAGCAGTGCATTCATTTTCATGATTTAGCAGGTTTAAGCCAGAATTTTCGAACTAGAATTGTGTCTGAAAAAATTAAAAGCAAAAATTGAGGTCTTTTCAAATTAGATAAAAGTATAGGCCTAAACATTTTCATTTTCATTTTCTCAAATTAGAGTCTAGACTATTTTCATGATTTTTAATGCAAATTTTATTATCGACATGCGACATGATTGATTGATGATCAGAATTTGCAGAAGTCAGACAGAAAATGTTTACACTGACCTTATTTAGTATAATATCTGGAGTCAAAATACAACGAACAATTCCATTATTAGTTTGGTTTAACTTTGAAGGAATGATTTTACAAATGTAGTCTCAGAGTGCACAGCTCCAGTGAGTTCCAATTCCAATATTCGTGCTGAAATCCAAAAGCAAAACATCG